ATAAAGATACACAACATATCTCTCCAAACTGCTAATATCCCAAAACTCCTCCTTTAGAGTGCAAGCATTGTACTTCCCATTTCCAGGACTCAAGTCCGGCTGTATAAAAATAACCGGTTTCCCTGAATCCCTTCACTAAATATTACCCTGCTCACACTCCAACAGATCGTCAGGTCCCAAATACAATTCGTCGCCATTCACTCCTATCAAACACACTCATGCACGCCTGCTGGAAGTCCAAGCCCCTCACTCACAAAACCTCCCTTACCCCTTCCTTCCAACCTTTTCGAGGATGACCCCTACCCCGCCTTCCTTCTCCTACAGATTTAAATGCTCTCCATGTCATTCTACTTTGATCCATTCTCTCTAAATGACCAAACCACCTCAACAGCCCCTCTTCAGCCCTCTGACTAATACTTTTATTAACTCAACACCTTCTCCTAATTTTCACACTCCAAATTTTCTGCATAATATTTACACCACACATTGCCCTTAGACAGGACATCTCCACTGCCTCCAACCGCCTTCTCACTGCTGCATTCACAACCAAAGCTTCACACCCATATAAGAGTGTTGGTACTACTGTACTTTCATACATTCCCTTCTTTGCCTCCATAGATAATGTTTTTTTGGCTTCACATATACCTCAATGCACCACTCACTTTTTTTCCTTCATCAATTCTATGATTAACCTCATCCTTCATAAATCCATCTGCTGACACGTCAACTCCCAAGTATCTGAAAACATTCACTTCTTCCATACTCTTCCTCCCCAATTTGATATCCAATTTTTCTTTATCTAAATCATTTGATACCCTCATCACCTTACTCTTTTCTATGTTCATTTTCAACTTTCTACCTTTACACACACTCCCAAACTCATCCACTAACCTTCGCAATTTTTCTTTAGAATCTCCCATAAACACAGTATCATCAGCAAAAAGTAACTGTGTCAATTCCCATTTTGTATTTGATTCCCCATAATTTAATCCCACCTCTCTCCCGAACACCCTAGCATTTACTTCTTTTACAACCCCATCTATAAATATATTAAACAACCATGGTGACATTACACATCCCTGTCTAAGACCTACTTTTACCGGGAAGTAGTCTCCCTCTCTTCTACACACCCTAACCTGAGCGTCACTATCCTCATAAAAACTCTTTACAGCATTTAGTAACTTACCACCTATTCCATATACTTGCAACATCTGCTACATTGCTCCCCTATCCACTCTATCATATGCCTTTTCTAAATCCATAAATGCAATAAAAACTTCCCTACCTTTATCTAAATACTGTTCACATATATGCTTCAGTGTAAACACTTGATCTACACATCCCCTACCTATTCTAAAACCTCCTTGCTCATCTGCAATCCTACATTCTGCCTTACCTCTAATTCTTTCAATAATAACCCTACCTTATTGATTAAAAGAGTTCATTTTTCTGGTGGTAATAAAAAATAATTTCCCATTAGTACTTTTTTTAACATGCTGGCTGTCTCCCAATGAGGCAGGTGATCCAAAAAAGAAACACTTTCACCATCATTCACACTATCACAGTACTTACTGAGAAATAAAGACGTAAATTTGACGATCAGTGACCCCCTGATGGCAACGTTGGTGATTGCCGCACACTCCACATTTTTCTAATTAACTTTTTTTTTTGTAATTTTCTGGGGTTTTCTAATTTTTTACATTTTCCAGTAACTTTTGTGGCATGTGAGACTTATCATGCACACTGTACATATATCCATGTACTTTATGCAACATAGTACCAGTACCTGTAGTTCAATCACTAGAGCACTTAGCTCACACACTGAGGTCTGGAGTTTGAATCCCCAGTATGGCTGGAAAACATTAGGACATGTTTTCATAAGACACCTGCTATCCATGTTTACCCATCAGTATAAAATGGGTACCTGGGTGTTAGTTGACTGGTGTGGGTCGCATCCTGGGACAAAATTGACCTTATTTGCCCAAAATGCTCTGAATCTCATGAGATGATTGGAGGAATTTCGGTGTTGTACACAGGCGTTGTTCAAGTTATCATTCTTACATGCATTAATGTGATCATTGAGGCGTGTTTTGAGGTTTGTTGTTGTTTCACCTACATATATCCTGTAACAGCCTCCACAGGGTATAGTGTAAACTGCTGCATTCACTGGTTCATGGTGCTTCGATTTTGTCCTGGTTAGATCCTTTATTGAAGTGCTGGATGTAATGATGACTAGTGTTAGCTTGTGCTAGTACTTTAGAAACGTTCAGTGCAACCTGGCTGTTGAGAAGAATTATAACTTTGTTAGGAGTGGTGTTGGTGTATGGAGAATTAATGATTTGAAGAGCTCTTTTCTTGCAGTCTTTGATGAAAAAGGAAGGAAAATGTAATCAGTGAAGGTTTGGTGTATGTATATACTGATTTACATTTTCCTTCCTTTTTCATCAAAGACTGCAAGAAAAGAGCTCTTCAGATCATTAATTCTCTGTACACCAACACCACTCCTAACAAAGTTATAATTCTTTCCAATAGCCAGGTTGCATTGAACGTTCCTAAAGTACTAGCACAAGCTAACACTAGTCGCCATTGCATCCAGCACTTCAATAAAGGATCTAACGAGAACAAAATCGAAGCACCATGAACCAGCCAATGCAGCAGTTTACACTATACCCTCTGGAGGCTGTGGCAGGATATGTAGGTGAAACAGCAAGAAACCTTGAAACACACCTCAATGAACATGTTAATGCATGTAGGAATGATAACTTGAACAACGCCTGCATACAACACCGAAATTCCTCCAATCATCTCATGAGATTTAGTGACGCCCAACTGTGATCAAAGAACCTAATATCCGAAGATGCAAATGCCTTGAATCAGCATTAATTGCTGTTTCTAACACAATTGAACAACACAAAAGCAGCTTCATCATCTCTAAAGTCTTAGCGAGAATTCTCTTGAAAACAGTAAACCCTGCCATCACATAATTGCTACTACATAAAGGACATGCCCAGTTTGGGCCAACAGGTCTGCTGCAGCTTTCCTCCTTTCTTATGTTCTTATGTAATAGAGAAGGGACACTGAAACATGCCTTCTCAAATCCATTTATATACATTTGCCCAACCTATTTTTTATGTTACCCAAGCCATAGCTTTTGTAACCTTTCTTTCTCTTGTACTAGCTGACTTTTTCACCACATGTATAACTACTACTACTACTACTTCTACTTGTACTACAGCTCACTCAAAGCCTATATGTACCTTCTGTGTCCATGTATTGTATGTAACAGCTTGACAAAGCTCCTGGAGAATGAAATGTTGCCACAATAAAATGTCACATTGGTTGCATTTGTGTTCTTTTACCTAACAGATTGTCAGTAATTCTACAATATTAATGTTTCCTTTTGCTTAGTATGTACTGCTTTAATGAAAAGAAAAAAATACACACTGAACTATTTCATATACATAAAAACTCTCCTACTCTTGTATAACATGTCATTCCTATCAGCCCTCATTTTGTTTGAGAATTGTAGCATATGTAGTGGCAGGATAAATCTCTTGACGAGGATGATCACTGAAGGTCAGGGTACAAATTTGGCTGTCAGTCAACCAGTATGATTGAGTATTGTGCTTATACACATGAGGCATAAGTATTATTTTGGCAAAAAAAAGGTACATCTCAGCAACAGTTGTGTCCTTCCACCAGTGTAATGATAATTGTCGTGAAACCAACGTATTTTCCATTGTATACTGTTGGTTTCCCTCACTATAATTTGCATTGGGCTCATTGAAACATAATTCAAAGGATTCAAGTTCACTGGGATCATTCCTGAGGGCACAGTCAGGCAGGATTCCACTGTGTACGTCATAAAATTGATGGAGATTAGGTACAATATTTGCATTATCCTGCTAATCTCAGATCAGATACTGGATATTTGTGGTTGGTTGTGGTTGTTATGTAGGTAGCAGTTGTGTATGGGTAGTGAAGGTGGTCGTGGGTCATTGGAGTGTTGAGTGTGGGCCATGCCTCCCATCCTGCAATGGTGCTGGTGCTGGGAACCTCATGCCACCATCTACTGCCGCATGTGGTGGCGCCATTGCGCACAGCTTATTACCCATCCCAGTTGATGCAATTTCATCGTCACTCTCACTATCAGTTACCAGTGTTGGGTCCCAGGATGTACTCTGTCTGCTTGGGATAGCAATGTGAACACTACCAGACTACATGCAGTGCCTTTTAAATTGACACTTAACAGGTGAATATTCTTCATCATTGTTCCTACTAGAGTATTCATCGCTTGCTAGGAAATCAAAGTCCACACCGGTATCATAACCACAACTCGCATCCGAGTCCAGGCCACGGGAGAATATGAACTTTCACGTATGACATGGTTAAGATGGATGTGTTTCAGATGAACTAACCCCAGAATTGGATCATTGTTGCAGGTCATCAGGAATTTCAGCAATATTTCCAGCATCTTGAGCATCACTTTCGGTAACTGTATGTTCAAAACCAAATGTCTCATCATTAGTTTCATAATCTTCATTGTTGGAACTGTCACTGGGAAATAGAACTCATTAAGTTCACCTTGGAGTGATGCTTTTGCAACTGTGCTGCATGATGAACAAAGTACTAAACATGACATTCCCACAATGCACTGGAGGGTTCCCAATTTTTTATGTACTGTGCACACTAACTGTGCAGCCCCATTCTCATATGCAGGCCTACCAGGCTTCTCTAGAATTTATGCATTGACCTATGTAAGGGAGCTTGGTATCAGTAACATGATGAACAGTGGCTCATTTGAACACCAACAAAAACTTGGAACACTGAAAAGAGTGCTGAATATGTGGGGCCCTCCTGTATATGATGTCTCCAGTATAAAATTTAATTGAAATGTGTCTTTTTGTGTGTATATGTAATTTTCCATTTGAATTTGATAAATAATAAACTTAATTAAATTGTGATGTAGAAATGCTTTAATATAGTATTATAATTGACAGGACCTGTAATTACTTCGGATGTTACTATTGTTAACCAGCTAGACACGCAGTCCATCACACTGCGCTACACTCCAACACCTACAGCTGTGGCCACTTTTGACACCTACAGATTCATGCTATCTGATCCAGCTATACCTCTTAAGGAAAAACTTGCAACTGATGATGACAGAAAGGTAACATAAAATACCAGGTAATAACTTTAAACTGTTGCTCCTTTCTATGGAATATATACATGTATTACTAAAATTTTTTAAACTCAACGGCTGTTTTCTGCCAAATTTTTTTTTAACTTTCGTCAAATTTTTTTGAACTCAACAGCTGTCTTCTGCCAAAGCAGAGTGACCCAAAGAAGAAAACTCATTCACCAACATTTATTCAATTGCTATCTTTCCAGAAGTGTGCTGACATCACAGTCAGATTTCCCCTCCTTCAGAGTGCAGGCACTGTCCTTTCCACCTCCAAGACTCAAGTCTACTAAACAGTTTCCCCCTGAATCCATTTATAAAAGTCACCCTGATCACTATCCAATAGCATGTCCATTGAAAACCACTTGTCTCCATTAAGCCACATATAACATTCTCACACATACCTGCTGGATGTTCAAGCCCCTAAAACCCAAGGCCTCTTGTACCCCCTCCCTTCAACCATTCCTGGGATGGCTCTTACCCCTTCTGCCTTTCAGCCCAGATTAATACACCCCTCCCTTCCCTTCATCAATCAATCCCCGTCCATCTCTGTATGCCCATACCACCTCAGCAACCCCTTCTCAGCTTTCAGAATTATACCGTTGGTCACTCCACATCACCTTTTAATTTCTATGTTTTGAATTCTCTGCATGATATTCACTCCACACATTGCTCTCAAACATGGCATCCCCAATGTCTCTAGCTTCTCTTTCACTGCAGCATTCAATGTACAATATATGTATTTACTGTACTGTGCTATGTAATTACCTATTTTAACTTGTGGTCCTGCTTCTTAACTTTTGAATAACTGATGTAAGAGAGTAGTCATATCTATTTTTCAATCCCTGTTTAATGTATGCCTCTATTGTGTCATTGTTCTTTTTTTTTACATACAGTAGGGCCCCACTTATACGGCAGGTTAGGTTCCAGGCTACTGCCAGAAAGCAGACATCACCGGAAAGTAGAATGCCATTTTTTCCACTTATAAATGCATATAAATGCCAGATAACAAGTTTATACTAACATATATTAAGTTAGCAATAGAACTAGGCATTAAAAAGTAAGATACACACACATTGCACTCATTATTTACCTCAAAATATTTGTAGACTCAATGTAGGGCAAAAGGTGAGTAGTATTTACTGTAAGAAGTTAGGTGTGGTAGTCCTCCTGGCCACCCCACCCACACATAATATACTACTTCAACAATGCTTAAAGCCCCAGAGAGTGATAACATGCATACACAGTACACTCATTACTTACCTTAAAAGATTTGTAGTTTTAATGTAGAGTGAAAGGTGAAAAGTATTTATTTGTAGAAAGTGGTGTGGTGGGTAGGGTAGTGTAGGGAAGCCAGCCAGGCCACCCCCACCCACTATGTAAAAAAACAGACGATGCATCTGGTTATGGTTCATAAACATTCATACAAACACCTTACATTGTGTACAAGTTGTCTCCACAGTGATACAGTAGAATATATAAAAACCAAGACTTCCATTCTCTTGTAATTTTTAGAAGGAATGATGCTCTGACAAATTATTATTATTATTATTATTATTATTATTATTATTATTTATTTTGCCTCGGTGGGAGACGGCCGACTTGAAAAAAAAAAAAATTATTATTATTATTATTATTATTATTATTATTATAGGTAGGTTGGCAGACAGCAACCATCCAGGGGGGTACTACCATTCTGCCAAGTGAGTGTAAAATGAAAGCCTGTAATTGTTTTACATGATGGTAGGATTGCTGGTGTCTTTTGTCTGTCTAATAAATATGCAAGATTACAGGTACATCTTGCTACTTCTTCTTACACTTAGGTCACACTACACATACATGTACAAGCATATATATACACACCCCTCTGGGTTTTCTTCTATTTTCTTACTAGTTTTTGTTCTTGTTTATTTTCTCTTACCTCCATGGGGAAGTGGAACAGAATTCTTCCTCCATAAGCCATGCGTGTTGTAGGAGGCGACTAAAATGCCGGGAGCAAGGGGCTAGTAACCTCTTCTCCTGTATATAATACTAAATGTAAAAGGAGAACCTTACGTTTTTCCTTTTGGGCCACCCCGCCTCGGTGGGATACGGCCGATGTGTTGAAAGAAAGAAAGAATTACTATTATTATTATTATTATTAATTATTTTATTATTATTATTGTTATTACAAATTATTATTATAAATTATTATTATTACAAGTTATTATTATAATCATAATAAAAATAGAAGCACTAAACCCACAAGGGTCGTGAATTGCTATATATATGTATAGAGTGAAGGCATACGAAAGGAATATTTATCTACAGTTATCCCCCAGTATTTGACTAGAGACAACGTAATTCTTCCAACACTCCTACAAAGCCGCTTCGTAAACAAATCTCATATTTATGTCAATTTTTATTCTGTGGGTGTATGTACATGTATAATGTTTATATGCTATATAACGTGTTTCTTATATACAGGTCTCCCTCAACATTCACGTTTTCAACTTTCGCGGGCTTCACACATTCGCGAATTCCCAACCGCCAAATTCCCAGCCTCCAAATCATATTTAAGTTTACCGCCAGGAGTCCTTACTACCCTCCCTCCGACCCCTGCAACTGGCAGCCAGCCCTCCCACCACTGTGTGGTGAGTGTTTTGTTTGTTCATTATTTGCTATTAAACTACAGTATAAATAATGTAAACCCATCCATGACTGCATACTAGAATGGCTATTCGGACAGGTATTGGAAGGTGACATCATGTGTTTACTCTTGAACACAGCAAAGAATCAAACATTTCTGCTACTGCTAATAATAATAATAATAATAATAATAATATAATAAAAATAATATAATAAAAATAATAATAATAATAATAATAATAATAATAATAATAAATACGATAGAATTGAAGAAGGAAATTGTACAAAAATACGAGGGCTGAAGCAGTGGTGGAGGAAGTGGTTGACGCATCGTCAGTGTGGCTTTGTTTATGCTGGAGTGAGTATTAGTCTCCGTGCTCTTCCAAACATTTCACAATAATTCATTGTATTTGGTGCTTGTAGATTGAATATGACTGGAGTGGTTGAGGCAGTGGTAGAGGCAGTGGTAGAGGCAGTGGTAGAGGCAGTGATAGAGGCAGTGGTAGAGGCAGTTATAGAGGCAGTTATAGAGGCAGTGATAGAGGCAGTTATAGAGGCAGTGGTAGAGGCAGTTATAGAGGCAGTGGTAGAGGCAGTGGTAGAGGCAGTGATAGAGGCAGTGATAGAGGCAGTGGTAGAGGCAGTTATAGAGGCAGTGCCTCTACCACTGCCTCTATAACTGCCTCTATCACTGCCTCTGCCACTGCCTCAACCACTCCAGTCATACTCAATCTACAAGCACCAAATACAATGAATTATTGTGAAATGTTTGGAAGAGCACGGAGACTAATACTCACTCCAGCATAAACAAAGCCACACTGAGGCTGCGTCAACCACTTCCTTCACCACTGCTTCAGCCCTCGTATTTTTGTACAATTTCCTTCTTCAATTCTATCGTATTTATTATTATTATTATTATTATTATATTATTATATTATATTATTATTATTATTATTATTATTATATTATTATTATTATTATATTATTATTATATTATTATTATTATATTATTATTATTATTATTATTATTATTATTATATTATATTATTATTATTATATTATTATTATATTATTATTATTATTATTATTATTATTATTATTATTATTATTAGCAGTAGCAGAAATGTTTGATTCTTTGCTGTGTTCAAGAGTAAACACATGATGTCACCTTCCAATACCTGTCCGAATAGCCATTCTAGTATGCAGTCATGGATGGGTTTACATATTTATACTGTAGTTTAATAGCAAAATATGAACAAACAAAACACTCACCACACAGTGGTGGGAGGGCTGGCTGCCAGTTGTGGGGGTCGGAGGGAGGGTAGTAGGGACTCGCATTGGTTGAGGCAGTGGTATTTAATAACATACATGTTATTAAGGCATTACGTATGTATTTAGTACAATTTACGACGTTTTCATGTACTTTATGATTGTTCATGTTTGGACAAGTTAAGGAAGCAGCATTGTATTATATTTCCCTACAATATATTGGGGCACCAAACATTCACGGTTTTTCAACATTCACGAGGCTCTTGATCCCCTAACCCTCGCGAATGTTGAGGGAGACCTGTAATTAAATAACAAAAAGGCACAATACCGTGACTGGAACGATACACAAATAACCCGCACATAAAAGACAGAAGCTTACGACGACGTTTCAAGATGTGACTTTGTCAATGGTCCAAGTCGGACCGAAACGTCGTCGTAAGCTTCTGTCTTTTATGTGCGGGTTATTTGTGTATGAGACCTGTAATTTTGAAGAAAATATCATAGATGGATTAATGAAAATGTCCATATTAACGTAAAATAAGACATTTAATGTGTCCAAGAGAGATTATTATTATGTAGTATTTCTGTGGCGTCATGAGTAGAGAGGCTCTTAGTAATTTTAATGTGTACTTACATGCCAGCACAGTGTGTAAGTATATTTAGGTACAGGTACACATAAGCATAATTATCAGAGTATACATATAAAATACACAATAACTTTAAAACACTCAAAATTTTGGCAAGTTTCCAGACAATAGATGTACTCACGGAGAATGTAAACAAACATGGTGTGGTGCACCGTATTTGAAAGATCGCATGCCGTATAGCAAATTTTGGTCGTAATTTGAAATTGCTGTATTAGTGGAACGCCGTAAGGCGAAACGTCGTAAAGCGGGACCCTACTGTACTTGATAAGAACCTAATTTTTTACATCTTGAGTAAGATAATTAATCATCAAAAAGCAAATTAAAAGCCTCTGTAACTGCTTTAAAGTCACCTATCTCTTGTTGCTGGTAGGGCTCCTGTAGTGCTTTGTTTTCTCGTGTATTTGGCTTGTCTGCATATAGTAGAGCTTCCTGTTGTTCATGTACTATCTGAAAAGGATCTCTAATGAGTGTGTTACTGCTTTACCCTTCTGACTAATATAAATCATAAATTAAAAAAATCTGGTTCCATTACATTTTTTTTTTGTAATTTCTGTAACAACATAAAAGAGAACTATAGTTATGTCTTCACCTATACAGCCACTTCACTTACTTCCTGCATAATAATGCTGCATTTTTGGCTTGGTGGAATAATGTCTAATTGAGAGAAGCATCCTTGAAAGCACTTATTCACTCACCTTCCACCTATATATATATATAACACTTGTTGTGTCTTACAGTACAAACATTGAATTTTATCTGCACTGAACACTTGCTGCAGCATTTTTTTTTTAATACATAGGCCATTTCCCACCAAGGCAGGGTGACCCAAAAAGAAAGAAAAAGTCTTTCGTCATCATTCAACACTTTCACCATCACTCATGCATAATCATTGCTGCTGTATGTAGGCACAAAATGGAATATGTTGTCTTATTAGGAACTGCATAAGAGTTCTGAGCACTTGCACTCTATTCTTGTAGCACATGACTAAATGCCGAAAATAAAAAGAGCTTCAAAAGTTTGTACCCATTGCCCTTGTGATTTATGTCTTGCTTATTGTTGACATTGACAGAATGTTTATCTGTACAATTAGTGAAAAAGACAGATATGCAATGAAACCCCCCACTCTTCATAGATCTAAACTTACTCTCTGTTCAGAACATCCACACTTACTACTGTGCAATCTATAGCTACAGGACCTTAAATTCCAATATTAACCTTGACCTAAAATGCTTTCTTGATAGTTGTGACAGGATCCACAGGCATAACACCAGACACAAACATCTCTATGACATTCCCCGTGTTCGACTAAACCTTTACAAAAATTCAATGTATTTCAAAGGACCTAAAATCTGGAAAGCCCTACCTGAAAACTCTAGAACTGCAGACACATTCATCACTTTCAAAACTACAGTTAGAAAACATCTTATCTCCCTGATCCACCCCGACAACTAACTACATGATAACCACCTGGTGGTTCACAATTACACTCACTCACCCACTGGCTATAAACCCAGAAATACTAATCTTAATCTTAAAATAATAAATCCTAACTAGTCATAAGTTTGCCTATGATACTCCAATATAGACACTTTGTATTGTGCCAAAACAAAAGCATTCACATTGCTAAACTCACAAATTATGATGTAGTCACTTAGCCTTAATACCATAATCTGTAAGGATTTAATGTTAAGAATTAATCTAAGTCTGCCTGAAATGCCTAGCCATGCTAGGTGTCCTAGTGACCCCCCTCTGTAATTAGTATTTTATAACATGTAAACCACACAATACCCAAAACCTGTAAACCCCACATTGTAACCCTTATAGAGAATAAACTTGAATTGAATTTGTACAATGTTTCACTCAACACAAGGATAGTGAGGCTCAGGTTAGATTATGCAGGCAAGAGGGAGAGTATTTCCCAGTAAAAGTAGGCCGACAGGGATGTGTGATGTCACCATGGTTGTTCATTATATTTATAGATGGAGTTATAAAAGAAATGAATGCTCAGGTGTTGGCAAGAGGTTTGGGGTTAGAAGATAATCAAACACAGAGTGGGAGTTGTCACAGTTGCTCTTTGCTGATGACACTGTGCTTTTGGGAGATTCTGAAGAGAAGTTGCAGAAGTTGGTTGATGAGTTTGGTAGGGTAAGTAAAAGAAGGAAATTAAAAGTGAATATAGGAAAGAGTAAGGTGATGAGGATAACAAAAAAATTAGGTAATGGAAGATTGGATATCAGATTGGAGGGAGAGAGTATGGAGGAGGTGAATGTATTCAGATATTTGGGAGTGGACATGTCAGCAGATGAGTCTATGAAAGATGAGGTGAATTATAGAATTGACGAGGGGGAAAAGGTGAGTGGTGCACTGAGGAGTCAGTGGAGACAAAGAACCTTATCCATGAAAGCAAAGAGGGGAATGTATGAGAGTATAGTTATACCACCACTCTTGTATGTGTGTGAGGCATGGGTGGTAAATGTTGCAACAAGAAGGCTGGAGGCAGTGGATATGTCATGTCTGAGGGCACAACGTGTGGTGCGAATGTAATACAGAGAATCCATAGTTTGGAGATTAGGAGGAGGTGCGGGATTACCAAAACTATTATCCAAAGGGCTAAGGAGGGGTTATTGAGATGGTTTGGACATGTAATTAAGTAAGTTTATTCAGGTATACACAAATACAGTTACATAGATTATCATACATAGCAGCATGTGTAAAATACCTAGGATAACCCAAAAAAGTCAGACAGAGTGACTTATTTCCATTGGGGTCCTTTTACCTTAGAGGATAGAACGAAATAGAATGACTTCAAGAATGTATAAATTTGTAGTGGAGGGAAGGTGGGGTAGGGGTCAGCCTAGGAAAGGTTGGAGGGAGGGGGTAAAGGTGGTTTTGTGTGCGAGGGGGCTTGGATTTCCAGCAAGTGTGTGAGTGTGTTAGATAGGAGCAAATGGAGACAGATGATTTTTAGGACTTTACGTGCTCTTGGAGTGTAACAAGGTAACATTCACTGAAGGGATTCAGGGAAACCGGCAGGCCGGACTTGATTCCTGGTGATGGGAAGTAGAGTGCTGGCACTCTGAAGAAGGGGTGTTAATGTTGCAGTTTCATAACTGTAGGATAAGCATACCTCTGGCAAGACAGGGATGGAGTGAATGATGATGAAAGTTTTTCTTTTTCTGGCCACTCTGCCTTGGTGGGAAACAGCTGATGTTTTAATAAAGAAAATAAAATTCACTCAACACTGAGCTTTGTCAGGTACATAGCAAATATGAGAGACAATGGCTTAAATAGTCCACAGGGAGTGATGTCATGCGCTTAGATGTAAGTAATCTACTTAAATGTAGATGGAGCAGCACTGCAGGGAGCTTGCTGGCTCATGCTGGAACACAGCAAACTGAGAAGAAAATGCCTGCAAGCATCGACTAATAAGTCAAACAGCACTATCAAAGAAAGTGATGAGATAGTTTACTTTGTCTGCTCCCATAATGCATATCATATTGAAACAGTAAACTGAGGAAGGGCCAACAAGCCTCCCTGCTATTGGCTATTTAAGCCACTCTCCCTCATATCTTCCATATACTTGATGAAGTTTAATTTTGAGTGAACTATCATATACATAAAGGACTTGAACATCAATTTTTTTTTAATCAACTATCAGCATCTTGACATTGTCTCTACTACCTGACCAGTAGCCAGAATGTTTAGCAAATAATACTGTATTCCCTAATTTGGTGCCCCCCAGTACAACTGGGTCACAGGAAAAGGGGCCATATTTGGAGAAGGATTCCTGTATAACATTGATCATAGTAACATTGAAATGTATGAGGCAAGATTGATTCAGGAAAAGGCATTAATGTACTGCTTATTTTATGATCTAAATATTTTTATACCATCTCCTACATCACAATTAATGACATGTGTATTTTCAGATTATTTTTGAAAAATTGGTGCCTGGTCGTCTGTACAACATCACAGCCTGGACAGTATCAGGAGGTGTGACAAGCCAGCCTCTCATACGTCAGGATCGCCTTTATCCCGAACCTGTCACAAATATTAATGCCACATTGATATCAGACACAGAAATTACCCTTGCATGGACAAAACCCAAAGGAGACTATGATTCTTTTGAGGTTGGCATCTTTACTTTAAATTTTGGTGTAAGGGGTACTACCAGGTGTTTTGCTTTAGTGCACATAGAAGTAACTGTAATAGCTTTTAAAGTAGGAGGAAGGTGGTCGAGTTTGTGTTCTTAAGTATGATAACTTAAGAAACTAGTGTGGAATTATGAGAGTAGGTACTGTTGAGAGATTAGGGCATATTGAAGTTATCATGTTTCTACTTATTCCTCCTATCAGCCAGGGATGGCAGAGATGGGCGTTAGCCAACTATTGTCATTAGCATCCTGGGAAGTGGTATACCTTAGCTAATGTAACTGGAATGGGCAGACTTTGAAATGAGCTCATGTACGATAACAGCTGTTAACATAAATTGTGCAAAAAAAAAAAAAAGTATTGTGGAGTATCTTTTTTGTTCTTCCTTTGGAAACTGTGTTAATGCTGTACATACTTTTTTCACAGTTTGTCAGTGGCTGTAAATATTGCTTTACATACTTTTAGCAAGATAAGCATTATTCCATCTGTTGTGATTTGCTTCATTTTTAGAGGAATTTGTGCATTATAGTGGCTGTGTTTTAACCCTTTCGGGGTTTCGGACGTACTAGTACGGCTTACACACCAGGGTTTTTGACGTACTAGTATGCCTAAATTCTAGCGCCCTCAAATCTAGTGAGAGAAAGCTGGTAGTACTACATATGAAACAATGGGTCTATGTGGTCAGTGTGCGCAGTATAAAAAAAATCCTGCAGCACACAGTGCGTAATGAGAAAAAAAACTTTGTGTTTTTGGATTAAAACAGCGACTTTGCACTGTATTTTCGTATGGTATTTATTGTTGTATTCTAGTTTTCCTGGGCTCATTTTATAGAATGGAAGACATATTAGAGAAATTGAGATGATTTTGACTGGTTTTACAATGAAAAGTACCTTTAAATTGAGTTCAAAGTAGCAGAAACGTTCAATTTTTACCAAAGTTCAAAAGTAAACAAATCATGCTAAACGTCCAATGCACGTCAGCTGGTGAGTCTAATATTCTTTCACAAGTGTGCCGATATTATTTATACCATTTCTACACTAATGCAGTAGTCTGCATAACAGTAAATCTATTTTTTTGTGAGAATAAAAATTCAAAGTGGAAAGCAAAAGATTGTAAGAGGGATGTGGGGACGTGACTAATGAACAGAGGAAATGCTACTTTAGTGCCAGGAATGTCTTTCTTGTTTATTCTGGACCCTATTTGGAAATTGACATTTTTTGAAATTTGTGTGAAATTGGCAAAATTGCTAAATTCTGACCACTGTATTGGATAGTTGAAATCGGTAAATGGGTGGTTTCTTGTACTGATTCGATAGAAAAGATGAAGTTCTAGTGAAATAGTTATGATTTTTGTCGATTAGTACACTGGAATTGGCTGAAAATAGGGCTCAAAGTGGGCGCAATCGCCGATGCGTAAACATCGTCGAGACTGCTAACTTCGTGAGAGCATAATTCCGCAAGTTTTCCATCAAATTTCATACTTTTGGTGTCATTATGATCGGGAAAGGATTCTCTATCTTTTCATAAGGTTTTTTTTTTTTTTTTTTTTTTTTTTTTTTTTTTTTTTTTTTTTTTTTTAAATTTGGGTGACCCTGAGAACAAGTCTGGGAGAGGGCCTGGGGGCCCTGAAAGGGTTAATAAGGCTACTTCTCATGCAGAAGTGATAAAGATATTTGTTAAACGGTTTTTGTCTTTCTCCATGGGGAAGTGGAACAGAATTCTTCCTCTGTAAGCCATGCGTGTCATAAGAGGCGACTAAAATGCCTGGAGCAAGGGGTTAGTAACCCCTTCTCCTGTGTATATTACTAAATGTAAAAGGAGAAACTTTCATTTTTCCTTTTGGGCCACCCCGCCTCGGTGGGATACGGCCAATGTGTTGAAAGAAAGAAAGAAAGTTTTTGTTCTAAAGTAGCAAGCACTTTATCATGTTAGTAATTATTAAAGTGGAGTAGTGGTCAGTTTTCCTGGCAGTACATATATCTCCTTTTTATCAGGAGCTGCTTATGTTGGTCACAATTTCTTCTATAATATAGATTCTTGTGGATGTAGTAACCAAGGATATTAGCAGACAGGAGTACATATTATTTACTATTTGGGAAGCTGGAGACTTGTTAGTATGTGGGATTCTTTATAAAGCTTCAATTGTAATAAAATTCTAGTGTTGATATTAGTTGTGCAAATATATAATCACCATATGAATCTCTAGTGTTAATGATTTTTTTACATTGCATCTCATTTGTATAGTAAGTTGCATTTCTACCTTTCATCTTATTAGGGATGGCTATGTACTCAGGTTTGTTAAATACTAATATGTCCCTGAATTCTCCATGGGGAAGTGGAACAGAATTCTTCCTCCTAAGCCATGCGTGTCGTAAGAGGAGACTAAAATACCGGGAGCAAGGGGCTAGTAACCCCTTCTCCTGTATATATTACTAAATTTAAAAGGAGAAACTTTCGTTTTTCCTTTTGGGCCACCCCGCCTTGGTGGGATACGGCTGGTACGTTGAAAGAAGATGTCCCTGAATGTTAATTATCATGTGAAAAATGAGAAAATTGTCCTATTAAAGTGGGGGGAAAAATTGTAAAGCACTTTGTTGCATGGAAGGATAGTATTTAAGAATAGCAGAACATTAATGAGTGGGCACTCGTTGACATGAGTTCTAGTGTATTGTATAGATTATTCCTAGAAAATGATGTATAAAAGAGTCTGCATTTCTCAGCTTTCCTTGTTATGTATAGAATTGTGTCTTAAATATGAAGCTTAATAAAAATCAGTGCAGTGTACTTGTATAAAAAAGTCACTGAGCATTTTAAAAGAATTAGCATCTGAAGTGAGCTACATAACCTAGTTTAATCCCTGTACTGTTCAGGTGGCTAAACTAACCTTACATCAATTTGACCCTTCCTCTGCAGGTACAGTACTTGACTGAAGATGAGCTAATCACTAACAGCACCAGCTATGATTCCATCACCATCTCGCGTCTTCGTCCCCACCGTAACTACACATTCACTGTTCTCACACGTGCTGGTAGCCTGGACCATATCATCATGAGGCAGTCTAAACCTGTGTCAGCCACATTTACCACTAGGGAGAGTACTCCTGGAAAGGTTAGAAACACTATACCTCAGTCTATTGTATAAATTATGTGTCTTATAGCTATAGATTACTACTGATTACTACAACATTAATGGTAATTTTGTAGTATGACACTTTGTGATTCAATGTGTAAATTGTTCTTTTTATTGGTATGCAGCACTTTCTGACCCTTATGGGTTTAGCACTCAATTTGATTATCATAATAACAATAATTAGATAAAGAAAAATTGAAAATCACATTGGGCTTACGAAGGATGAGGTTAACCATAGAATTGATGAAGGAAAAAAGGTGAGTGGTGCTTTGAGGTATCTGTGGTGACAAATAACGTTATCCATGGAGGCAAAGAAGGGAATGTACGAGAGTATAGTGGTACCAACACTCTTATATGGGTGTGAAACATGGGTTGTGAGTGCTGCAGTGAAGAGGAGGCTGAGGCACTGGAGATGTCCTTTCTCAGGGCATTGTGTGGTGTAAATATTATGCAGAGAATTTGTAGTGTGGAAATTAGGAGGTGTGAGTTACTAAAAGTCAGAGGGCTGAGGAGCAGTTGTTGAGGTAGTTTGGTCATTTAGAGAGAATTGAACAAAGTAGAATGACTTTCAGAGCTTATAAATCTGTAGGAAAGGTTGGAGGGAGGGGGTAAAGGAGGTTTTGTGGGCAAGAGGCTTGGATTTCTAGCAAGTGTGCATGAGTGTGTTAGGAGTGAATGGAGACGAATGGTTTTGGGGACCTGACGAGCTGTTGGAGTGTGAGCATGGTAATATTTTGTGAAGGGATTCAAGAAAACCAGTTAGCCAGACTTGAGTCCTGTGGGTGGAAAGTACAATGCCTGCACTTTAAAGGAGGGGTTTGGGATATTGGCTGTTGGGAGGGAAATCTAAACTGTTGTATCTGAGCACCACTGCAAAGATAGTGATTATATATGAATAATGGTGAAAGTGTTGAATGATGATGAAAGTTTTTTTCTTTCTTTTTGGGTTTTTCTTTCTTCTTGGGTGACCTTGCCTTTGTGGGAAATGGCCGATGTGTTTAAAAAAAAAATTAATAATTATCTTGTCACACTGTATTTCTATTGTAACTAAATACGTAACTTGCTGTATCTTCACCATCTCTATTCAGTCACTCCACAAAACTAAAGATCATTGACTCAGTTTGAAATAATATGTAATTCTTTTGTAACTGTCTATTTGCCATTAGCTACCTTTCTTATTGTAGTTAACTGCATAAAAAGTCCTACTTAATAGTCTGTCTAGTTCTAAAGTAACATTTAAGCTGTATGATTAGTTGCTGAAATGCAGTACATAATTAGTGGCTTTATTTTGGGCCTACTAATGTTTATTACATGTAAACCACATTATTTGTACCACTTAAAGAAATAAATATCGTATTGTATCATTGGTGCAAGTGCAGTACTGGTAAATGAGTTAGAACTTTTGTTTTCTTTTACCATGAATTTGCAGTTGTTTCTTTATTTACCTTGTTTGTACATTTGTTATTAGAATTTACCTTCACTTTCTAATAAAGTTTTCTGTCTAGGTGGCCCAGTTTTCCCCAGATAGAATCAAACCAAGCTTGATTACCTTCAAATGGTCATTACCTCTAGATGAGCAAAATGGAATTCTTTTAGGGTTTACCATAAAATATGGAATCAAGGTAAGATTGAAAATTTGTGTACAGTAATTTTTTATAAAAATTATAGTCATAACCAGTTTCATTTGTTTTTGTTTTAATATAATTATTCCCACTTATTTTGACATTATTAGCAATTTTTATGTTCACTTGAATAACACTTTAATATATGTACTAATTTTTTCTGTTATCATTTTAGGGTTCCTCATCTACTATTGCCCGGCACTTTAGGCCTGATGAACTGGAGGGGACTATTACAAATCTTATTCCTGGACAAGTTTATGTTTTTGAAATTGAAGCTAGAACGAAAATTGGTTCTGGTCGTGTCAAGTACTGGGAGCAGACCATGCCAATATGGGGTAAGTTGTGTTTATGCAGAATAAGAATATTTTTTAACCTTGTTGAGAAACAAGAAAACATGAAATTTATGACATAAAAATAATTCTGGGGAAAAGTTTTGATTTTAACCCTTTGAGGGTCCAAGCCATAGATCTACGCCTTGTCCACAGGGTCTAAGCCATAGTTCTACGCCATGAGCTCAGCTCACTCAGATAAGCTGTGGGCAGTAAATTTGGGCCTAGATATAAGAGAATGGATCTACGTATGTGGTAAGTTTGCACCACATAAAGTAAATCCTGTAGCACGCAGTGCATAATGAGAAAAAAAAACTGCGACAGTGTTTTTGGATTAAAACACCGAATTTGCGGTGTATTTTTGTATGGTTTTCATTTGTTTTTAAATGGTTTTGGTCTCTTGGTAGAAGGGAAGATATTTTACAGAAATAGAGAGATTTTGTTGTTTTAGTACTGAAAAATAGCTTAAAATTGAGTCAAATTACGAAAATGTTCGATTTTTGCTATGTTCATAGTAAATAAAATACGCACGATCCGACAATAAACAGTGGTTGATATGTCATGAATGTGCGATATTATTTATAAAGTTATACAGTTTTGATAACAGTAAATCTTCTTTTTTTTGGGGTGTGAATTAAAATTCTTTATGAAAAAAAAATCAAAATGAATTTCATCTTTAAAGCCGGAAAATACTAATAAACAGAGGAAATGTTTTTTTTATGCCGGGAAATTTCCTGCACAGTTTTTCTGGACCTTTTTTAAAAATTGAAATTTGGAATTTTGTGTGAAATTGGTCAAATTACCAATTTTGATCCTTTTTTGGGTATTAAAATATTTGTTTGGGCAGTTTTTGTTTTAATGAAAAATAGAAAAATCAGCAAAAAGCAAAATTTTTGTTCTACAAAATAATGTAATTGGCCTAAAAATGGGAGTAAATGGGCAAAATCGCTGATGCGAAATGCGTGAGCAGAAAAAATTCCGGGTAATTTCTCATTTTCCCTCTTTTCATCCCTTTTGTTTTATTACCTTCAGAAAAGAATTCTCTTCCGTTTTATAAGAAAAAAATAATTTTTTTTTTAAATTCTTGGATTCTGTGGACAAGGCATGTTTTGGGTTTGGGCCCCTCAAAGGTTAATAAAAATGAATTTACAACTATCCAAAAAATTGAAGATAAAACTTTGGTGACATCAGGGTGTGTTCTGTATTGTTATGAAGGTGTAAATAAGAGACAAAAGTAAAACAGAAGTCATTTAAGGTGAAGACAGATTAGAAGACAGCCAAAGTTAGGTCAGAAGGGGGTTAGGGAAATGGCAAAGTCAATTAGGTGGGGGGTTCTGAAATTAGAGCATTTGACACTGTTTTGAGAAGCTGAAAATAGAACAATGTTGTGTATAAGGGCCAGTTCGCAGGAGGATCGTAGGGGTGGGGAAAACAGTATGACAGTAGGGCCCTGCTTTTGGGTTTTTTTTGCCTAATGGCATTCCGCAAATTCGGAAATCTCAAATTATGACCAAAACTTTCTACATGGGCAAGTGGTCTTCCAATCGGCAGGCCCCCCGGTTTTTTTTACATTTCCATGACACATCTCTCTGTATGTAATAATAATCATCTTGGGGAACATTAAATGCTAATTTTATGTCAATATAGACATTTTTTTAATTCTTTTATATTTTTTCTTCAAAATTATAAAAGAAACACGTTACATACATATAAACATGCCGTTTATATGCTTGGACATGGGTTGCCAGGGGGAGGGAAAACAACCAAAACCCAAATAATAACCTTTTGGGCACTTAAATGTCTTTTTTTTACATTAAAAAACTTTTTTTTTTTTTTTTTTTTTTTTTTTTTTTTTTTCAACAAGGGGCCGTCTCCCCCCGAGGCAGGGTGACCCAAAAAAGAAAGAAAACCCCCAAAAAGAAAATACTTTCATCATCATTCAACCTTTCACCACACCGCACTTATCAGTTTTTTGAGAGGTGCTCAGAATCAACAGCAGAAGCAAAAAACTATAAAGATACACAACATTCCCTCCAAATGCCAATATCCCAAACCCCCCCTTTTAAAGTGCAGGCATTGTACTTCCCATTTCCAGGCTAAAGCCCCGACTATAGAAAATAACCGGTTTTCCCCTAATCCCTTCACAAATATTACCCTGTCAATCCCAAAGATCGTCGGGCCCCAAGTCCCATTGTCCCATTCACCCCTATTAACACGCTCACGCACGCTTGCTGAATCCAACCCCCTTACCCACAAACCCCTTTTAAAACCCCCCTCTCCCAAAACCTTTCGGGAGCCCTACCCCCCTTTTCCCCTATAGATTTATATGCTTTCCATGTCTTTCTACTGTGATCCTTCTCTCAAAAACCCAAACCACCCAACAACCCTCTTCTGCCCTCTGCAATACTTTTATTAACCCACCCTTCCCAATTTCCACACTCCGAATTTCTGAAAATATTTACACCACACATTCCCTTAAAACGGGACATCTCCGCTGCCCCCAAAACCGTCTCCTCGCTGCGCTTTTTCCCCCCAAGCTTCAACCCCCCATATAAGAGGTTGGTACTACATACTTTCTACATTCCTTCTTTGCCTCCATAGAAAACGTTTTTTGACCCCACATATACCTCAACGCCCCACCACCTTTTTTCCCTATAAATTCTATGATTAACCTCACCCTTCAAAAAACCCATCCGCCGAAAACGTCAACCCCCAAGTATCTGAAAACATTCACTTTTTCCCATACTCCCCCCCCCAATTGTATCCTTTTTTTCTTTATCTAAATCTTTTAAAACCCCCTCATCACCTTCCTTTTTTTCTATGTTCCTTCAACTTTTCCTTTAACACATTCCAAACCCCACAAACCCTTTGAAATTTTTTCTTTAAATCTCCCAAAACACAGTATCATCAGCAAAAAGAAACGTGTCAATTCCCTTTTAATTTGTTCCCCAAATTTAAACCCCACCCCTCCCCCAAACACCCTAGCATTTCTTCCTTTAAAACCCCCCTCTATAAAAATTAAACAACCAGGGGACATTCACACCCCTTCAAAGACCTCTTTTCCCGGGGAAGTAGTCTCCCTCCTTTTTAACACCCTAACCTACCTCCTATCCTCATAAAAACTTTTTAAGCTTTTTAAAAATTACCACCTTTTTCCATATATTTGCAACATCGCCACATTGCCCCTCTATCCACTCATATTCCCTTTTTCAAAACCCATAAATGCAAAAAAAAATTCCCTTTTTTTATTAAATACGTTCACTATATGCTTTAATGTAAACACCGATCTAACCCATCCCCCCACCCCCTCTAAAAACCCCCTTGCTCATCCGCAATCCCAAATTCTGCTTACCCCTAATTCTTTTTAATTATAACCCTACCGTAACTTTTCCTGGGATACTCAGTAAGCTTTTTCCTCTAAAAATTTTCAGTCTCTTTTGTCCCCTTTCCCTTTATATAAAGGGGCTATACATGCTCTCTGCCCAAACCCTAGGGGCCCTTTCCCCCTTTCATACATTTATTAAAAAAAAAAGTACCACCCCTCCAACCTATATCCCCCCCCTTTTAAAAAATTCTGTCATGATCCCATCATTTCCCGCTGTTTTACCCCCCTTTTATTTTACGTAATGCCCCCCGTACCTCCCCACACTTTCATTCTGCTCTTCTTTACTCCCAAAAGATGGTATACCTCCCTGACCCGTGCAGAAAAACTGCCTTTTTCTTCCTTAAATTAAAAGTTTCCCAAAATATTTTCCGCCTCTACCCAATACTCCTTTTCCCCATCTACTAATCCCCCACCTGTTTTTTAAAATGCAAATCCTATTTTCCCCAGGCTTTTTTAATTTTTTAACTCACTCCAAAAATTTTTTTTATTTCTTAAAATTTCTTTACAGTGCCTCTCCCACTAAATTGCTTCCTTTTCCTCTCTCACCACTCTCTTTCCTTTCTTTTACTTCCATATACCGCTTTCTTATAACACTTTTGCTTTGTAAAAACCCTCTAAGCTCCTTTTTTTCCTTTTAAAACACACCCTTTTCTTCTCATCCACCAAACACTCCCTTTTCCTTCCCCCCCCACCCCCCTTAACCACAAACTTCTCCCCACTTTTAATACTGCATTTTTAAAACTATTCCAACCCCTTCAACCCCCCCCCTTCTCTTTTTCACTAGCCCACCTTTTGCCAAAATCGTTATACCACCCAACTTCCCCTCCCTTTGTTTATCCTTTTCACTTCCCTTACTTTTTTGCCCCCTTCCTCTTTTTTCCCTCACCTCTTACTCTAACTGTAGCAAACTAAATAAGATCCGATTAAAACATTCCCCCTCTATAAAATGTAAATCCTGGAGCCTACCACCCAAAACCTTTTATCCACCAATACATAATCTAATAAACTATTTTATTAGGGCTACATCATAATTGTATTTTATTTATCCCTTTTTTTATAAAATATGATTACTTTTTACCAAATTTCTTTCTACACTAGCCAATTAAAGGGTCCCCTTTAATTTTTCCCCGGGACCCCAAATTACCTACTACTCCCTCCAAACAAAATTTTTTTACCACTTTAGCATTAAAAACCCCAACCACCCTTACCTCACACTTGATTCAAAAAACCCCCGCATTCACCAAATTTTCCCCAAAAACTCTCCTCTCCTCTACACTTCTCTCTCTCCAGGTGCATACACCTATTAAAAACCCACTTTTTTACATCCCAAACTTTTTTTTACTCCCCATAATCCTTTAATTAAAACATTTTATATCCCTCTTTTCCCCCCATAGCTTATCCTTTAAAATTATTGCTACTCCTTTTTTTGCTCTAACTCTATTTGAAACCCCCGACCTAACCATTTAATCCTTCCACTGAAAATCTCCCCCCCCCTTCGCTTTTTTTTCACTTAAAGCCCCGGCATCCGCTTCTTCTCATTTAAACCCACAATCATCTCTTTTTATCATCTGACAACATCCCGCACATTTAGACTTCCCACTTTGACAATTTTTTTTCTTTTTATCTTTTTTGTAAACTTAAAAGGGAAAAAGGGGGTTTCTAGCCCCTTTTTCCCGGGATTTAGTTGACTTTTTCAACACGCATGGGTTAGGAAAGATCTTTTTCCACTTCCCCATGGATATAAAAGGAAAATTAAAAGACCAAGAACTATTTAAAATAAAATCAAAAAAAAACTCAATGAGTGGTATAAATAAATTGTACATGTATGTGTAGTGTGACCTAAGTTAAGTAAAAATGCAAGACATGCGTAATCTTGCATATTTATGAGACAGACAAAAAACTCAGCAATCCTACCAATCATGAAAACAATCACAGGCTTCGTTTTACACTCCTTGGCAGGGCGGGAGTACCTCCCTGGGGTTGTGTCTACCCCCTACTCCTATAAAAATAGGATAGACATTTTTATTTATCCATCTATATTATATTTTCTTCAAAATTTTTAAATTAAAAAAACATTGCACAACAGTTGTGGTGTGGGGGAAGTTCGTGAGGCGTAGGTAAAATGAAAGGGGGTAAGGGAGGGCCGGGGTTGATGGGATAAAGATAAAAATGTTAAAAGCGGTGGGGGTTAGTTTTGGAGTGGTTGGTCGTTATTAATAAATGCATGGAAGAGGGTAAAGGACCTAGGGGTTGGGAGGAGCATGCTTTCCTTTGTATAAAAGGAAAGGGGACAAAAGAGGGGTGCAAAAAATTTTAGGGGGATAAGTCTGTTTATATCCCCCGGTAAAGTGTATGGAAAGTTATTATTTAAAGAATTAAGGTAAGACGGGGAATAGGATAGCAGATGAACAAGGAGGCTTTTGGAAAGGTGGGGGTGTGGGGCCCAGGTGTTTACAGTGAAACATAAAGTGAACATATTTGTAGCTAAAGAGGTCTTTGTGGCATTTATGGATTTGGAAAAGGCGTTGACAGGGTGGATAGGGGGGCATGTGGCAAAATTTTGCAGGGAGGTGTGGAGGTAGGTTACTGAAACGTAAAGGTTTTTTACGAGGATAGTGAGGCTAAGTTAGAGTAGTAGGAAAGGGGGAAAATTTTTTTTCCCATAAAAGTGGGCCTTTAGACAAGGTGTGGATGCCCACGGGGTTTTTTAATATATTTAAGATGGGGTTGTAAAGAAGTAAATGTGAGGGTTTGGGCAAGAGGCTGATTAAAAGATAAAGATCACACACAAAGTGGGAGTTGTTGTGTGGTGCACTCCCTATCCCGAAGTGTAGGCCGTAGTGGGATGCCAGGGTTTTTGGGGTCTTAGGAAGGCCCTACAGGCGTGCTGGTTTTGGTTGACCTGGTAAAAGTTAAGTAGTTTTTTGCCTTGTTCTGATTTTCGTAAGATGCTACGAGCCTTTTGAAGGAAAGTCTGGCAAAAAACTACTTAAACTTTTACCAGGTCAACCGAAACCAGCACGCCTGTATGGCCTTCCTAAGACACACAAACTTGGCATCCCACTACGGCCTATCACTTCGTGCATAGGGAGTGCACCACACAGACTAGCCGGCCACCTTGCCAAATACCTTTCAGCGCTTCTGGGCACTATCAGTCAAGCCCACCTCAAACACTCAGGTGACCTTCTCTCCCGAATTTCCAACCTGAATGTCAAAAACAAAAGCATGGCTTCCTTCGATGTCACAGCCCTCTTTACCAACGTTCCTACTGACGCTGCAATCAACATTCTGAGACAGAGGCTCACTGAAAACCACGACCTCCCTTTACCTCTTCTAGATTTCATCAATCTAGTGGAACTGTGTGTTAATTTCAACTTCTTCAAGTATCAGGACAACTGTTACAAACAATGCTTAGGATGGCAATGGGCAGCCCGCTCAGTGCTGTGCTTGCCAACCTCTTCATGGAAAACTTGGAGACAGAGAAATTCAGCACCCTCATTCCCAACACCGTTACCTGGCTAAGATACGTTGATGATATATTGGTTTTCTATCCGAGACGTCTCAATATCCAGGCCCTTCTCACAAGATCAATGCAGTTGAACCATCAATAAAGTTTACACTTGAACTCGAAAATGATGGCAAACTTCCTTTCCTCGACGTTCTACTGTGCAGATCTCCCGACAGTGACAAACTTCTCTTCAAAGTGTATAGAAAACCTACCAACAAGGACGATCTTATACACTTTTATTCACACCAAGATACCCGCACTAAGAGAGGAGTCCTCATTGGCTTCTTCTTGAGAGCTCTTTCGCATCTCCAGCCCTGTTTTCTAGAAGAAGAATGCACTTACATAACACAAGCCTTTACACGCCTTCAGTTCCCATCTTTCTTCATCCGAGATTGCAGACTCAAGGCACAAGCTATCCTCAACCAAACCGCCCATGGAACAGCCCCCTAAACAGTTCATAGTACTTCCATGTGGCGATGTTGCCACGAATACTCGCCGGGCACTTGGTATGAGTAACATCAACGTTTCCACCATAAACACATCCTCTATCAAAGACCTCACTACTAAACGCAGCCCCACACCTCTAACTTCTACAGCAGGCGTCTACACTATCCCCTGTGGGTTCTGTCCCAAGAAATATGTAGGCGAGACAGGCAGAGATCTTGCAGTCCGCCTGAATGAGCATCGAAATGCCTCTAACAGAGACGATGTAAGGTACGCCTGTGTCCTCCACAGAGACTCCACGGGCATTTGATGAACTGGAACGAGCACAACTCGTTCTCACCGAACCAGACCTCAGACGCCGACGGTGCCTAGAAGCCTCACTAATCACCGTCACCGACACTATAGAACGCAACACTGGAAACTACAAAATTTCAAAAACATTGGCATACATGATACTTAAGCAGCACCAACCCAACAACACAGGAGTCACGTGATCTCATCGTCTACCCTCGCCTCGCATGGGCCAGTAGGCCTTCTACAGTGTTCCTCCATTCTTATGTTCTTATGACATTCCTCAGGTCACGTGCGTCACATCTCACTCTCCGCCTATATATATAATGTCTTTCTACCTCTGTATGTTAGAAGTGATCAAGGTTCCAGGACCGAAACGTTTTCTAATAAATATGTTATAGTGTTTGCTTACGTGTCTTTCTAAACCAACTTGTCGGTATTTATTACCAAGGTTTATACCAGTTTTCATTATCCATGTCTGCTGAAACGATCTTTAGAGAACTTATATTGCATTACGTTGCTTTGTATTGTAACTTAATAAACAAGTACCACTCATCTTTTTATATGTAGACAATCACAATTTTTATTTTTTTAATTCATGAATTATCTTGTAACTTGTATCTTTTTTTTAAGTTACTATTAATACCAGGTATTAAAGCCTTAAAAATAAAAATAAAAATACCGGTATGTAGATTTTTAAGACTAGACTAAGTTTTGCCCAAAATGCTGTACTTCTTATGGGCCTTCAGATTATTGTATACTGTTGAATGTACAGTAATTTTGAAGTAAAGAATGGCATTGTATTGTATTTATTCTTAATAAATTAAACTTAATATACTCTAGTACTAACAATATTTTTAAATGAACTTGCTACCCAACTCCAGGAATCAAGTCCAGTTAGCTGGATTTGATTTCTGGAGGTGGGAAGTAGTGCTTGCAATAGGAGGGGTGATGTTGCAGTTCATAAAGTAATCTGAATTGATGTGTCTGCAAACTTTGGACAAGACAGCTATTGAATGAATGTTAGTGACTGTGTTTCCTTTTTTTGGGTCACCAGGAGATGGCTGGTGTGTTCATGAAAGTATTAGAGGTAAAATATTGATTATGTGCTCAGTATGGCAGTGCAGGACCAGTAATGTGGATGATTTAGTGATTAAGGATCAGATCTGATGTAATCCTAAATGTTTAGTTTAATATGTTTATTATGCACCCCATACCCATCCTGTGGGCGGTAGTCAAAAGATTACAGAGGTACATAATTGGTCCAGGGACTGGACTCCAAAGTTTTGATAGCTGAGCAAGTTACAGAGGTAATGAATTCACAATTTACAATGATATATCTGATATAAAGTTTAAAGCTAATTATTCTACTTTACTATTTTTTTAACACTGGCCATTTCCCACTGAAGCAGGGTGACCCAAAAAAGAAACACTTTTACCATCATTCACCATCCATCTCAGTCTTGCTAGAGGCATGCTGTTACTACAGTTTAGATGCCCCTCCAAACTGCAAATATCTCAACCCCTCCTTCAGAGTATAGGTACTGTACTTCCCACCTCCAGAAATCAAGTCCAGCTAACTGGTATTCCTGAATCTCTTCACATATGTTTCCTGGTTTACACTCCAACAGCTCATCAAGTCCCAAAAATTATTTGCCTCCACTCACTCCTATCAGATCTTGTAATAATGAAGAAAAAAATAAAAATCAATTAAAATTTACTAAAAAATTCTGTGACAGTGTTAAATTAAATTTAGTAATTTGTCTAATAATACAGCTTGTTTTACTTCACTATACTTATTGATCTGAAATAATATTGAGTGATAATAGTTTGGAAACTCATTCTGGAGTAGTTGGCAGGATGGCCCAATCAGATAATTTTTTTTTTTACTTTTATCGTTGATCATATGCCAGCCCTGACATTTTGTTAATAATTAAAGCATTTATCTGGCCAATTTTTTTGCCCAAAATTACCAAAATCTGTTAATGACGTTTTTTTTTGTGGTTATAAAAGAATTTAGAAACCTGCTGCATGTCATACACTTGGTCATACCTCAGAAAGATTAACAGTATGCTTCCATACATCACACCTGAAAACTTAAAATATAAAAATTAATTGTATGTGCAGTTTTGTAATATCTGATGATAAATACATGTTTCATGTACAGCTCCACCTGATCCCAGCCATCAAGTTTTCCCTACTGAGGTGTCTCGCACTTCTACAACAATTCGTATCCGATATCGTAAGAACTACTTTTCTAATGAGAATGGACAAGTTATTGAATACAGTATTATTGTAGCTGAGGATGATTCCAAAATCTCAAGAGGATTAGAGATGCCATCTTGGCGAGATGTACAGAGCTATTCTATTTGGCCTCCATACCAGGTCAGTTAAGTTTCCTGTGAGATTGATTATACTGTACAGTATGCCATATGTATATAAAATTTAGTCTGTATGTTGATAACCTTCTTTATCAGAGGAATTCTCTTACTGTTCTTCCACTTCATTTAACAACTGGAAAATAATTAAATTACATTATAGGTAACAGAACCATACTACCCATTCAACACCACATCTGTAGAGGATTTTGATATTGGTACTGAGGAAAACTGTGAGGTACGGTTTGGCTACTGTAATGGAAGACTTAAGCCAGGAACTACTTATAGGGTAAAGATTCGGGCCTATACAGCTAGGGACAAATTTGCTGATACCTACTTCAGCCACCCTATAACTACTGGTAAGTTTATTTTAAATCAACCACTTATACTTAATTCTTAAACATTGTAGTTCATATAAAATTTTCTCAGGTATTGTATACATCCACAGTTGTGAGTATGAATATCTCTCTTGCTAACATATTCTGCTAATCTTATTTTCATTGTCTGTTTTTAAATTTATCTAAGTGTCATCAGTGGCAGACCTACATTTTGGGACCCTGAAGCTTGAACTATTATAGGGGGGGCCCTTTGCAACCCCTTCTCATATAGTAGACCCAGAACTTTTAAGCAATGTGGACTAAACTCGCTTCTGGGGCCCCTCCAGGATTAGGGGTCCTGAAGCTTAAGCTTCATTAGTTTCATAGTAGATCTGCCCCTGAGTGCCATACATTCTTGATGCTTTCATTTAGAACCTCCTGGATATATGTTTTGTTATAGTTAAAAATAAAATATTTAAATTGCTATTGATTTTCTTGTAGAATTTGAAAGTGGTAATGTGGGTCTGGCTGTGGCTGTTCCGGTGTTGGTGCTTGTTGTAGTGGTTGTGGTGGTTATGGTTATGAGGCGCCGCAGAATTTGTCTTTTCCCAAAAAAGACTATGGATCCTAGTAGGAAAGATGGAGACATGCACTCACTTCCAGATTCTCTTATTGAAACAAGGTAAGAACTGAAAAATAATAATTACTTTGTAGTAAGAATATGGAAGAAAGAATCATTGGTGTAAATAATGCTCTCATTAAATGTACTGTTTGTTTATTTTACATAATGCCTCTTGTTCAGTGGTTTTTAACTTGTAGCCAAAGACTAAATACAAGGTATGAGTCACACAAAAGAGTTGTAGATTAATAATTTTGGAATTGATGCTTATTTCCTTTACAGTGCTTGTTATGGTGTCTGTACAGTATATTAAAGTTATTGATGCTCATAAACACCTTAAAAATAACATCATTTCCAGTAAATAAATTAATAATGATTTTGTTTCTACAGTCGTCCTGTGAAACTGAAGGACTTTGCTGCACATTATAGATTTATGGCAGCTGACTCAGAATATCACTTTTCTGAAGAATACGAAGCACTCAAGCATGTTGGACATGATCTTCAGCGTAATGCTGCTGATTTGCCTGTCAATCGTCCTAAAAACCGGTTTACCAATATTCTTCCTTATGACCACTCTCGTTTCAAACTACAACCCACTGATGATGAAGAGGGCACTGATTATATTAATGCAAATTATGTACCAGTAAGTCTCTGAATTTCATTATGGCTGCTAAGTTATACTGTATATTCCATGCACTTAGTGCATCTACCTCTTAAATATTACTGTATCTTCTTTCTTATGTCTTAATTTTTTTTAACACAAGGACTGTCTCCCAACCTGGGCAGGGTGACTTGAAAAAAGAAAGAAACTCTTTTACCATCATTGCAGAGGTGCCCAGTTATGACAGTTTAGATGTCACTCCAAACAGCCAATATCCCAAACCCCTCTTTTAAAGTGCAGGCATTGTACTTCCCATCTCCAGGCCTCAAGTCTGGCTAACCAGTTTCCCTGAATTCCTTCACAAAATATTACCCTGCTTACACTCCAACAGTTCGTCAGGTCTTAAAAACCATTCATCTCCATTCACTGCTGTGTAACATGCTCACAGATGCCTGCTGCATGTCCAGGCCCCTTGCACACAAAACCTCTCTTTTCCCCTTCTGCCATTGTTTTTCTAGGACAACCCCTACCTCTCCTCCCCTTCACTACAGATTAATATGCCCTCCAAGTCAACCTATCTTGCTCCATCCTTTCGAAATGACCAAACCACTCAATAACCCTTCTTAAGCCCTCTGAACAATAATTTTAGTAACTCCACACCTCCTAATTTCCACATTATGAATTCTCTGCACAATATTTACAAAACACATTGCCCTTAGACACGATATCTCTACTGTCTCCAGCCTTTTACTTGCTGCAGCATTCACAACCCATGCTTCACACCAATATAAGAGTGTTAGTACCACTTTACTCTCATATATTACTTTCTTTGCCTCCATGGATAATGTTTTTTTGTCTCCACAGATATCTCAGTGCACCACCCACCTTTTTACCTATATTAATTCTATGGTTAACCTCGTCCTTCATAAACCCATCTGCTGACAAATCTACTCGCAAATATCTGAATGCGATATCCACTTTTTCTTTACCTAACTCGTTTGATATCCTCATCACCTTACTCTTATCTATGTTCACTTTCAACTTTCTTCCTTTACACACCTTATCAAACTCATCCACTAACCTTTGCAATTTCTCTTGAGAATCTCCCAAAAGCACAGTATCATCAGCAAAAAGTAATTGTGTCAACTCCCATTTTGTATTTTATTCCCCAGACTTTAATCACACCCCTCTCCACAACACCTTAGCATTTACTTCTTTTACAACCCCATCTATAAATATACTAAACAAACATGGTAACATTACACATCCCTGTCTAAGGCCTACTATTACTGGAGAGTAATCTCCCTCTCTCCTACACTCCCTAACCTGAGCCTCACTATCCTCATGAAAACTCTACAGCATTTAATAACTTATTACCTATTCCATACACTTGCAATATCTGCCACATTGCTCCCCTACCCACCCTGTTATATGCCTCTTCTAAATCCATAAATGCAATGAAAACTTCCCTACCTTTATTTAAATATTGTTCACATACATGTATGAAAGAGGGAAAGTACCTAGGGATTGGCAGAGAGCATGTATAGTTCCTTTATATAAAGGGAAGGGGGACAAAAGAGATTGAAAAAATTAAAGAGGAATTAGTTTACTTATACCAGGAAAAGTGTATGGTAGGGTTATTATTGAAAGAATTAGAGGTAAGACAAAATGTAGGATTGTGGATGAGCAAGGAGGTTTTAGAGTGGGTAGGGGATGTGTAGATCAAGTGTTTACATTGAAGCATATATGTGAACAGTATTTAGATAAAGGTAGGGAAGTTTTCATTGCGTTTATGGATTTAGAAAAGGCATATGATAAAGTGGATAGGGGAGCAATGTGGCAGATGCTGCAAGTAGTATATGGAATAGGTAGTAAGTTACTAAATGCTGTAAAGAGTTTTTATTAGGATAGTGAAGCTCAGGTTAGGGTGTGTAGAAGAGAGGGAGACTACTTCCCAGTAAAAGTAGGTCTTAGACAGGGATGTGTAATGTCACCATGGTTGTTTAATATATTATAGATGGGGTATGTAAAAGAAGTAAATGCTAGGGTGTTCAGGAGAGGGGTGGCATTAAATTATGGGGAATCAAATACAAAATGGGAATTGACACAGTTCCTTTTTGCTGATGATACTGTGCTTATGGGAGATTCTCAAGAAAAATTGCAAAGGTTAGTGGACGAGTTTGGGAGAGTGTATAAAGGTAGAAAGTTGAAAGTGAACATAGAAAAGAGTAATGTGATGAGGGTATCAAATGATTTAGATAAAGAAAAATTGGATATCAAATTGGAGAAGAGGAGTATGGAAGAAGTGAATGTTTTCAGATATTTGGGAGTTGACGTGTCAGTGGATGGATTTATGAAGGATGAGGTTAATCATAGAATTGATGAAGGAAAAAAGGTGACTGGTGCTTTGAGGTATATGTGAATACAAAAAACATTATCTGTGGAGGCAAAGAAGGGAATGTATGAAAGTATAGTGGTACCAACACTCTTATATGGGTGTGAAGCTTGGGTTGTAAATGCTGCAGTGAAGAGACGGCTGGAGGCAGTAGAGCTGGCCTGTCTAAGGGCAATGTGTGGTGTAAATATTATGCAGAAAATTCGGAGTGTGGAAATTAGGAGAAGGTGTGGAGTTAATAAAAGTATTAGTCAGAGGGCTGAAGAGAGGTTGTTGAGGTCGTTTGGTCATTTAGAGAGAATGGATCAAAGTAGAATGACATGGAGAGCATATAAATCTGTAGGAAAAGGAAGGCGGGGTAGGGGTTGTCCTCGAAAAGGTTGGAGGGAGGGGGTAAAGGAGGCTTTGTGGGTGAGGGGCTTGGACTTCCAGCAAGCGTGCATGAGCGTGTTAGATAGGAGTGAATGGAGACGAATGGTATTTGGAACCTGACGAGCTGTCGGAGTGTGAGCAGGGTAATATTTAATGAGGGGATTCATGGGAAACCGGTTATTTTTATATAGCCGAACTTGAGTCCTGGAAATGGGAAATACAATGCCTGCACTTTAAAGGAGGGGTTTGGGATATTGCTAATTTGGAGGGAAATGTTGTGTATCTTTATATGTATATGCTTCTAAACTGTTGCATTCTGAGCACCTCTGCAAAAACAGTGATATGTGTGAGTGAGGTGAAAGTGTTGAATGATGATGAAAGTATTTTCTTTTTGGGGACTTTCTTTTTGCGTCACCCTGCTTCAGTGGGAGACAGCCGACTTGTTAAAAAAAAAAAAAAAAAAAAATATGCTTCAATGTAAACACTTGATCTTCACATCCTCTACTCGTTCTAAAACCTCCTTGTTCATTTGAGAACCTGCTTTCCGTCTTACCTCCGATTCTTTCAATAATAACTCTTCCATACACGTTACCTGGTATACTCAGTAAACTTATTCCCCTATAATTTTTACTGTTTCTTTTGTCCCCCTTCCCTTTATATAAAGGAACTATACATGCTCTTAGTCAATCACTAGGTACCTTCCCCTCTTTCATACATTTATTGAACAAAAGTACCAACCTCTCCAAAACTATATCCCTACCTTCTTTTAACATTTCTGTCATCATCCCATCAGTTCCATCTATTTTACCCCTTGCCTGTATGTTCTTTTAACACTGGCTGTTTCCCACTTATATCATCATTTATATATAATCACAGTCTTTGCAGAGGCACTCAGATACAACAGTTTAGATGTCACTAATAAATTTAAAAATCTGTCTGTTTTCAGGGATATAATTCACCAAGAGAATTTATAGTGACGCAAGGTCCTTTACCATCAACACGCGATGACTTCTGGAGAATGTGCTGGGAAAGCAACTCACGTGCTATAGTCATGCTGACACGATGTATTGAAAAGGTATATTTCTTTTTTACAATAACATTGGGAAATAAAGTAGTCCCATAGCCCATTCACTGTCCAGACCCCCAAAATTAATATTGCTCTCAGTGTCCACTGTTCCAAAAAAAAAAAAAAAAAAAAAAAATCTGGAATGTTAGACAAACTTTTTCTGAATAAAGAATAAAAGAACAAATAATAAAGATTTTATTTCTTTGCAAAAGTTACAATGTGTAATTATAATTTTGATTTATGTACAAAGAAAGCCACTATCATGCTGGGGCATTTCAGGCAGACTAATCCTAGTACATAATAACTATTTAAGACTTGACAAGATAAGATTGGTTAATTTTTTAATATATCTTTATTTTATCACAATACTAATGTAAGGTAGTCAAGGTTGAGGTTTATAAGAATAATTATTTTGAAGTTGCACATAATAAAAACAATATTTCAATTACTGGTTCAGACGGTAATATTTTATGGATTGTCAGATGTTTTAATAGACTAGAGGTCATCTTTCTTTCAACACACCGGCCGTATCCCACCGAGGTGGGGTGGCCCAAAAGGAAAAACGAAAGTTTCTCCTTTTACATTTAGTAATATATACAGGAGAAGGGGTTACTAGCCCCTTGCTCCTGGCATTTTAGTCGCCTCTTACAACACGCATGGCTTACGGAGGAAGAATTCTGTTCCACTTCCCCATGGAGGTAAGAGGAAATAAACAAGAACAAGAGCTAGTAAGAAAATAGAAGAAAACCCAGAGGGGTGTGTATATATATGCTTGTACATGTATGTTTAGTGTGACCTAAGTGTAAGTAGAAGTAGCAAGACGTACCTGAAGTTTTGCATGTTTATGAGACAGACAAAAGGACACTAGCAATCCTACCATCATGTAAAACAATTACAGGTTTCCGTTTTACACTCACTTGGCAGGACGGTAGTACCTCCCTGGGCGGTTGCTGTCTACCAACCTACTACCTAGGTCTAGAGGTCATATAATATATAATTTGGGAGAGTTGCTTCAAATTGATTAGAAGTTGGTTTGGTTAGTATTGAGAGATGAGATGATTTTTAAGCATAGCCCTAAATTTGTATGTAGTCAGGGGATCCTTTACCTGATCAGGTAGTGAATTTCAAATCTTCGGGCCCTTTATGTTCACTGCATTTTTGCATAGTGTGAGACTGACACGAGAGATGTTGAAGAGTGCTTTGTGCCTTGTATAATGTTCTGTATATATAGTAAGCACAATAATATCAGTGTATATCTTGTATATTTAGTAGGTTCAGGCTTTTGAAAAGTGATGGGGTGTGCTGTTGGCACAGGAGCTGGTAATCATCTGCACAGCAGCTTTTTGTTGGGTTATGGCACGAAAAGTAAAAGAATTTGATGGAAAACTTACGGAACTACTCGGGCACAAAATTAATGTTTTCAGCTTAATTTACACATTGGTGATTCCACCAACTTTAGAGTCCTATTTTAACCTTTTCAGGGTTGGTGCTGTACTAGTACGGCTTGCACATCAGGGTTGGTGCTGTACTAGTACGCATAAATTCTAGTGCCTTCAAATGTAGCGAAAGAAAGCTGGTAGGCCTACATATGAAATAATGGGTCTATGTGGTCAGTGTGTGCAGTATAAAAAAAATCCTGCAGCACACAATGCATAATGAGAAAAAAAAAACTTTGACCGTGTTTTTGGTTTAAAACAGTGACTTTGCAGTGTATTTTCATATGCTATTTATGGTTGTATTCTAGTTTTCCTGGTCTCATTTTATAGAATGGAAGACATATTACGGAAATTGAGATGATTTTTATTGGTTTCACAATGAAAAGTACCTTGAAATTGAGCTCAAAGTAGCAGAAATGTTCGATTTTTGCCTAAGTTCAAAAGTAAATAAATCAAGCCATGCGTCCAATACATGTCAACTGGTGAGTCTAATATTCTTTCACAAGTGCGCTAATATTATTTATACCATTTCTATGCTGCTGCAGTAGTCTGCATAACAGTAAATCTTCTATTTTTTGTGAGAATAAAAATTCAAAGTAGAATGCAAAAGAAATGTAACAGAGGCCTGGGGATGTGGCTAATGAACAGAAGAAATGTTATTTTAGTGCCAGGAATGTCTGTCTTGTTTATCCTGGACCCTATTTGGAAATTGGCATCTTTTGAAATTTGTGTGAAATTGGCAAAATTGCCAATTTCTGACCACTTTATTGGATAGTTGAAATTGGTAAATGGGTGGTTTCTTGTACTCATTTGATAGAAAAAATGGAGTTCTAGCAAAATAGTTATGATTTTTGTATACTACATTGGAATTGACCGGAAATAGGGCTCAAAGTGGGCAAAATCGCTGATGTGTAAACATCGTTGAGACCACTAACTTCACGAGAGCATAATTCCGTATGTTTTCTAACAAATTTCATACTTTTGATGTCATTATGATCGGGTAAAGATTCTCTATCATTTCATAAGGAAAAATAATTTTTCGAAAAATTTTTGATCCTGAGAACAAGTTTAGGAGAGGGCCTGCCAACCCTGAAAAGGTTAAGCCAATTCCATTGCTCTAGTTGACCAGATTCTTAGCCGTTTCACTAGTATGCCTACCATTTTATCAATAGAGCACAAGAAATTTTCCATTCAGCTATTTCAATTACCCTATAAAGTGCACAGTAATTGGTAATTTGGCCAATTTTACAGAAAATTAAAAAATACCACTTTAAAAATAGTCCAAAATAAGCAGTGTAGACATTCTTGGCACTAAAACATTTCCTCTGTTCATTAATCACATCCCCAGGCCTTTCCTGTATCATACTTGCCTTCCATTTTGAAATCATAATCACACAAAGATAGAAGATTTACTTTCTCTTTCTCTTGGATAATGAAATATAACTAGGAATGATTGCTCATGATTTACAAAGACCCATTAATTGAATCAGACCTATTAAAAATCCATAAAACAGACTGGGGGGTGTAGGGAGGCCTTTTCTGTCCTCAGGAAAATCAGAAAAAATTTAATATTTCCACTACTTCAAGCTCAATTTCAAGCTGTTTCCAGTCTTGAAATCAACCAAAATTATCTTCTGTGTCTTCTGCTTTTTCCATCATGCACTGTGTGGTGCAGTTTTTTTTTTTATACTGTGAACACTCCCTGCACAGACCCATTCTCTCACTTCTAAGTCAAAAATTACCACTCTCAACTTATTTGAGTGAGCCAAGCTCATGATGTAGAACTATGTGAGGGACCCTAGCCTCAGTAACACAGTTCTATGTGATGGCCACTAAAAGGGTTAATATTTGCATGAGAGTTGCAGAAAATGCAGGTTTTCCTTGTTTTATGCAGGTTTGTCTTAGGTCAGAAAAATATAAATACATACACATTTCTAGTATTATAAAAAAATTGGACACTTCCATACGTTAATGTTTCCTTATTGTGCATTTCACTGTTTATCAGGGTCGTGAGAAGTGTGACCATTATTGGCCATACGATACTCAACCTGTGTATTATGGAGACATTCAAGTAACCATCCTTAATGAAAGCCAGTTCCCAGATTGGAATATATCTGAGTTCAGAGTTTGTAAGGTAAGGCTTGAATAAACTCAGTATTCCATGTAATATTTTGCCTTTAAAATGTGTTCCTACCTTCTTATATAATCAACTAGAATGCAGATGATGGCAGATGTGTTTTATTCTTCAGGTTGCCCTGTCTTGGTGTTAAAAAATTCTTCAGTTTATTTTTGCATTATCTGAGCATTACTGATTCCATAACTATTAACTAAAAGTTTCCTATTCTGTTTTAATATTGAAATCTACCAGGATAATGTATAAAAAATTCTGTTTAATAAAAACACATGTACTGTGCCTCATTATACACTCTCTTACACAACTGACTCACTCTTGACCAACTCCATCACACTCAGTTCATCTTGTATTATTTTTAACTGTATAAACTATTGTTGATGTATTTCCTGTTACTGTACACTGATACTTTTAATAAATGTATGAGGTGTCGAGTGTATTGTGTCTCGAGTGATTTTGGGTTTGTGTGGTTTGGGACGCATCCACACAGACACATCCCCCACCCTCAAAACTCACATGAAACGGACAACCTCAGTACACTCATCATTATTTATTTTTTTTTTGTTTTTTTTTTTTTTTTTTGTGTTTTAAAAAAATGAGTGGTACCAAGGTATCCAAACTTAGAGTTACATGCATGCACAATAACAGTGCAGCATGCCAAGAACACACACAACAAACACACACAACACACAAAACACACACACAATGACAGCACACACACAACCACAACATCAATTCAACACGCAAAACCGGCTACGACACCCAACAATACACAGCGTGGGTCGTGTCACACAACGTGTGTCCGTGGGGTGAAGACGTGGGTAACAAGGCTCCGAGATCCTTAGCGTTGTATGGCGTGCAATAACAGTTAGCAGTAATCAGTGGTAGTGGAACGTCAATGAACAATACTATGAGTGATAATTAAAGTTATTAGTTAAAGAAAGTGAGAGGAAAGCTGAAATCATAATATTTCAAAGCGCAAACCGTTGGGGGTCTTAGGCGCTGTTGCCACATTGGTAGCGGTAGGCCTGAAGAAGTGATGTCACGACAAGTTGTGTGCCATTATGTATATAATGTGAAGTGTATACTATCATCAGTGAAGAGTGAAATCGCGTGAGGAAGCGGGATGTAAGAGAATATATGGTTATAATCATCACGGGTGAAGGATCTCCAAAATAGGGATTTAAGGCCTACGTACGACGACTTCAGTCATCAGCAGCTGGCAACTGTCACCGCACCATTGCAGCGCAAGTTTATTCGCCTATTTGTGGTTTGCATGTTGACGGCCCTGGCTGGCCTTGCATACTGTTTGATACTGGTCACTCACTCCTGCAAGTCTCAGTAGTAGTAACCAGTTACCAGTAACCAGTGTACCGTTGACTCAACGACCAACCGTCTCTGCCTGAGTCACTATCTGAACTCATATTGCGCTGACCTGGCATTATTCAAAGACCCCTCACATATGGGTACTGTGGGCGGCCAGTCAGTCAGTGTTAAGAGAGCAGAGAGATAGGTACGGCTGTAAGGGCGTTCTCACATTATCTGTAATTATACGTACTACCAGCCTACGTGAGTATTTCTTACCTATTACCAGAATTAGAATAGAAATAGCATAGACATAGAGAATATAGTGTTGACGAGTGTGAGAAGGTAGGTGGGACAAGCTTTTAAGGGCAACATTGTAAGACGGTGCTAGGGTCAGGTCCCAGGAGGGTTGTGTCAGGTCACAAGAAGTTGCGGCCAGTCATTACACCGCACAAGATTCTCTCACACACACACACACACACACACACACACACACACACACACACACACACACACACACATGCACACACGCACACAGGCAGTGTTACTACCGGTAGTTATTAGCAGTAAGAATACTTAGGAAGCTAGGAAGTCCTCTCTCAATGTGAACAAGGAAAATTATAATAACCAGCAACAATTAATACGTAAATCCAAAGGGCAATAAGTGGAGAGAGTAGATAATTGGGAAAGATAAATGAGACTAAATTTGTGCCTACACGACGGATCTTTCAACCACACAACCTACCCCCCCTAACCTTCCCTCCCTCACACACAAGCACACACACACAAGGTAGACACACACACACACACACACACACACACACACACACACACACACACAAACACACACCACACACACACAACAACACAACACACACAACATAAACACATCACACACACAATCACACTACACCACACACCATACACACACACACACACACACACACCACACACTACACACACACACACACCACACACACCCCACACACACACATACACACAACACCACACACACACACACACCCACACACCCCACACACCACACACACCACACACACACAACACACACCCACACACACCACACAACACAACACACACCACACACACACACCACACACACCTACCACACCACACACACACACAACCGCACACACACACCCACACACACACACACCACACACACACACACACACACACACCACATACCCCACACACACACACACACACGCACCACACACACGCACCACACCACCACACCACACACACACGCGCACACACACACGCCAACAACACACACGCAGGACAAAATGGTAACTAACCCCCACACACCCTCCACCACTTGACACAAACACTTGACACAAACACGTACCCCCCCCTCCCCTAACCACCTCTCCCCCTTCCCTAACCACCTCACCTTAGCCACCTACCCCTCCCCCAAACCACCTAACCCCTCCCCAAACCGTCTAACCCCCCCAACTACCTCCCTCCCTCAATAACCATCCTCCCCCTCCCCCATAAACCATCCATCCCCCTCTCCCCAAACCATCTAACCCCCTCCCCCAACTATCTCTACCCCTCCAATAACCATCCTCCCCCTCCCCCACAACCATCCATCCCCTCTCCTAACCATCTATTCCCCTCCCCCTAACCAGGATGAGGACAAGGGGCTCCAAGGACAAATCTGGGAGGGAGGAATGGGAGTAGAGCTCAAAAAAAGGGAGGAAGACTGGGAAGGAGACTAGATGAGCTGGAAAGGAAGATGGAAGAGAGGTTAGCAGCAGAATGCAGAAGTGGAAGCAACAGGCCACAGCAGCAGAAATCAAGATAGAGAGATTAGAAGAGGAGCTGAGACATCTGAAACAGCACAGAGACAAAGATATTACAGAAGTAGCATCGGCAATGGCTACATCAAACACAGACAACAGGTCTGAAGGAAGCATGGAAACTAAACTGTATGCAGAGGTCCTGTCAAACCCACATGGGGCCAAAACAAAGACAGGGAGCACACTAGGACAGAATGAGAGGTTGAAGACATTGAAGGAACTAGGACATGTGCAAGGACCTTACCAGATACCTGTGGGGCCAGGAGCAGGTGAGAGCAGGAAGGATAAACCAAGAATGCATAGGGGCCATAACTAGGGAAGAGACTGAAGGAAGGAACACTCACGGAAGGAACTAAAACACATCAGAGGATGCAATGGGAGTCACAGTGGGAGGTGGAAAGGGAAAGATCAGTGTTTGTCTATGGGCTAGACGAAGCTAAAGGGAAACTTATGATGAAAGAAAGCAGAGGAGAAAAAAGCGATTGAAGATATCATGAAGGTGATAGGCGAGGGGACATGACCCAGGTGGCAAATTTTCGGAGAATTGGTGGTTCACAAAGAAAAGGAATCGGCCTCTCAAAGTAATTTTCAAGGCAGAATCAACCCGAACCATGATCCTGCAGGAGAAAGCACGGCTGAGAGGCAAGCAGGAGTTCCGGAGTGTGTACCTCGATCGAGACAGAACACAGGACGAAAGGAAGACAATGAAAGAGAGAGTTCAAAAACGAAAGGAGAAATGGGAGGAAATGAAAAAGGAGAGCAGAATAACCCAGGATCAAATGGAAGGACAAGCGCACCCCCCAGAACACCTGCAGAAGGACTCCAGCCATGACACCCCCAAGGCAACTGAACAATCCAAACCAACCATAAACCATACCCCCCGGGATTGAACCGCGGTCATAGTCTCAAAACTCCAGCCCGTCGCGTTACCACTAGACCAGCTAGCACAATAAGATATCAACAAGTATATTTCTACAACCATAGGAAAGTTAGACAGGCACCTCTGTGACCACAAATGCAGTTTTACAGACGAATCTCACTAGCGTGGCCAGTGACGAACTCTGAGCTCAAGTCCCTCACTGCCTCATAACATGTTAAGAAATCGTAATGACACGATTGCAAATAAACCATACCCCCGCCGGGATTGAACCCGCGGTCATAGAGTCTCAAACTCCAGCCGTCGCGTTTAGCCACTAGACCAGCTACACATAAGATTCATCCACTAGGATATTTCTAACATAGGAAAGTTAGCACAGGCGACCTCGGAGACACAATGCAAGGTTTTTACAGCGAATCCCAGCTAGCGTGGCCGTGACGAACTCTAGCTAAGTCCCTACAAACTGCCGTCACATGACTTAAGAAAACGTATGTGTAGAAATATACCTATTGGATGAATCTTATTGGCTGAGCTGGCAAAAGTGGCTAACGCGACGGGATGGAGTTTGAGACTCTATGCCGCGGGTTTCAATCCCCCGGGGTAGGTTATTTGCAATCGTGGCATAATTTCTTAAAAGTCAAACAACCTCACACACCGATCCTCTGTTGTCACCCCCCGCACCACAGTTACAGTATAGACCAGAAGTGAAGGTTTGGTACACAATGCAGATGGATTAACGAATAAACTGATGAATCGCAAAAGAATTCAATGAGAAGTCCAGCATCATAGCAGTTAAGAAACAAAATTCATGGGACAATAACTGATGCAATCTTCCCACCAGGATACCAGATCATGAGGAAAATAGAAGGGCAGGGGGGAGGTGGGTTGCTCTGCTCGTAAAAAACATGGAAATTCGAGGAAATGGAGAGGAATAAGATGAACGGGAAAAGGACCTACATAGAGGTACACTACAGTCTGGGGAACACAAAGTGTCATTG